CCTTCTTTCTTTCTTTCCCCCCCTTCTCTCTCTTTCTTTTGGAACAGTCTCTTGTAGGTTGACCTCTGATGGCCTTGAACTTCTGATTCTCTTGCCTTCATTTCTCTAGCGCTAAAAATACAGATGTGCACCATCACACCTAGCCTTAAATATTTACTTTTGTGGATCAGAATAACTTTTATTTGCTTGGATAAAGTCCTGAGATTAACCTTACTTCAGGAGCATGGACTAAACCAGGAATCCATCACCTGAAGCAATACTTGGCATAGTCTTGTTGGTCCTAACATAGCATTCACATTTCATTATGAAATGTAGTGGAGAGGTTTCCTTACGCTGAATTTACTTAAAGAGTAGCCTCTTTTCTCTAAGTTTATGTGTCAAAACACCAAAATGCACATTCGTAATGTTTTAAAACACAAATGGAGCTGGAACCTGGGCGCCAGCAAGGCAGGGTGCCGCTGTGCACATGACCCGACTTCAGCCGTCATCAGCAGAGCCAGTTGAGCGCAGGTGCACCTACAGACTGACAGTTCTGCTGCCGCTGCCCCTGCCGTGCCGTGGGTTTTTGAAATGGGTTTCACATCATGTGATGAAAGTTTGCTGTTTTATAAATGATAGTGACTGCATGTGGAAGTGTTTCCCTGTCTGCACATCCACTAGTTCCATCTGAGAAGTTTATGAAACCCTAGCTAAAAAAAACCCCAATCTGAGATCATCACATTTTCCTTGTGATGTGGACATCCTGAATTTCTTCAGCTACTTAATAAAAGGAGTAGGTTCATGAGGATTTCCTGGTTCCTGGTGCTGTTTCCTGATCTCTTTTCACTAAAGGCTTATATTGATAAGAGACCTGTATAAAGACCTGTTTTATTTTTAAAAATCAGAATCTTATTTTGTAGTCACTGAGCTTTGGGCCTTTGTTATTTATTTACTTATTTATTTTTGAGACAAGATCTCATTATGTAGTTCTGGCTGACTTAGAACTCATTCTCTAGACCAGACTGGCCTCAAACTTACAGAGATCAGCCTGTCTCTGGACAGGCGGAATTCAGTGCTGGAATTAACGGTTTGCCACCACTCCCAGATGAATGAAATTGTTAATAGTTGGCTTTTATCAAGCTTAGAAATCCTTTAGCAGGTCATGTTTACATAGCTGCTGTTTAGCTAATCAGTGAGTCCATGTGTGAGCCCGTGACTCTGCCTCATTCTTCACAGCCAATTCTTTACATTTTTCTCCTGTTTTTCACATACTAAGCTTACTCTTCACCTTTGCTAGGACCCACTGAGAGTTTTGTACCCTCCCATCTTGCTGGGGGCAGGGGGCGGGGACGTAGAATATCCCTGAAAAAGGAAAGAAAAACTGAGCTGGTCAGTTCTCACTTCTCTTTGTTCTCATTAGGATTCACTGACCACATTTTTTTTTTTCTATTTCAGATTTTGATATGGTTCAGGGAAGGGTTTAGATTGTGCTTAAGCCTCTGGCTATACAGTAGATTAGAATCAGCACACTATAGCCCAGGATCAGGTCAGATTGTATAACAGACCACTAACTTGGTGTGGTAAAGTTTTATTGGAACACAGCCCCACCCATTCATTGGTATGTGGTCAGTAGTGACTTTCAAACTGATAGACATGGGTAGTTGCTACTGAAAACTGTAGTTTTAGGTTTTAAGCTTAAATTATTTACTGTTTGAACCTTTACATAAAAGGGGGCTGAGGGCTGTTGAGATGGCTCATCTTGGAAAGGTACTTGTCGCCAAGCCAAATGACTTGAGTTCAATCCTAGAACTTTACATGGTGGAAGGAGAGAACAGACTCCTTCAAGTTGTTCTGTGACCTCCACACACAGGCTACAGCACACACGCTCAGGCATACACACAGAAATATATCAATGTGAGGAAAATTTCAAAGATGACTGACTTCTCCTTTGCTAATTGACTTCATTTAATAGGCACACATTTAAAAAAACTCCTTTCAAGGCAGAAATTGACTAGATTCTAAATTACATTGTGTTCCCTAAGGATTTTCAGATCAAGCTCTTCCTGAGGTTTTATTTTATATTTAGTAAAGATTTAAATAAACTACTTATAGGAAACATATGTGTCTGCTGAAAATAAAAGGTGTGGATCCCAGCTCAATACCTTCTCTCACACTGCTCTCTGACTAAACACTATTTTCCTTTATGTCCAGCCTTGGACCTCGGTGAGGCTTTAAGACTCTTAGTAAGCTGTATGGATTCTTCTAGCACTTCTAATCCTGTTGAAATTTAAATAAAATAAGAACATCCTTAATTCAAAAATCTAAACTCTGAAGTGTTCCAAAATCTGAAACTTTTTGAGTACTGACTTATTAATACAAATGGAAAATTTTATAACACAAAATTTTCTTCATGCACAACATTGTCAAAAATACATGGACTTAAATTTAGGCTATGTATATAGAGTGTATGTCTATCAGCTATACATCATTTTAGCTTTAGAGTTTTGTCCCATCTATAAGATATCTATATGCAAGTATTCCAAAATGTTAAACAATATCCAAATTATGAAGCTTCTGGTTCCAAACATTTTTGGATAAACATGTATCAACATGTATTTATTAGAAGATTGTGACCACTTTCTACCCAAATGTGTAAATCTTTTGTGTTGGGCCTTACATGAGAACTGTCATAGAGAGCAACTGGCCTAGTTATCCCTCAGTTGAGATGTAGGGCAGGATGGTGTGTACTCTCAGGACTGTCTGAATTGAAAATCCTGGGCATGGAATGTTGTTTAAATCAGGCACTTACCATTGAGAGGAAGAAAATCAGTCTTAGCCTAGGCTCTGCAAACTTCTATCTCATCAAGTTGCTTAGAGAGATACGTAGATCTAAAACCTGTCATTTAAAATTGTTTCAGTAAAAATATGAGTTCTGTTCTCATATCCAAAGTAGTCAGTGCAGCTGCTTTCTGTTGGGTGAGCATTTCTCCAAAGCCCTCCCCTGTCAGATTGTAGCTGGTCAGTAACAAGGAACAGTTCAGGAGAGATGCTTCTGCCTGGGGACAGCCTCTCGTTGGAGGGACAGGGTGTACAGGAGCCTCTTGTTTCTTCTTTCTTGGCTGATCCTTGCTTTCATGTTGCTTTCTAATTCCAGAAACTTCAACAAGTCCTCTGGCAATACCCACAATGACAATGAGACCCACAACTATAACAAAACCCACAACTGCAGCAAGACCCACAACTATAAGTAAACCCGCAACTACTTCAACAAGAGCCACACAAGCTCCAATGTCAACAAGAGTCTCCACCTCTACTCCTCCAATACTCGTACACACCCAGACCCCCAAACCAGGTAAAACCCATGTGTTTCATGATTTACAGGCCTTCTTGTGAGAGACTGTACATTACACAGGACACTGAGTTGACAGAAGTACAGCCTAGGTGAAGGGTTCCTAAAAGGATTCCAAACACTTGCTTTATGAGGTCTGTGGTCCTCTTCTCTTCATAAATCATATTCACCCTTTGCTGTGTAAGACCATAGAGAGTGAGGACACCCACCACTCTATATCAGGTTGTTGAAGGGATTCACTATTACCGAGACACAGCTGGATCATTGATCTGGGATACTGATGGGGATGATGGGCATCTGGCCTAGCTGGCCACAGCTTTCTTATGGAAAAGTAAGGAACCACAGAGAACAAGGGTTCTGACTCTGATAAGACAGGATAAAGAGACTCTGACCTCATTCAGTCCATTCAAGTTGGGCCCTCCATCTAAGGGAAATATATATACTTTTTGAGACATGGTCTCCCTGTAGCCCCAGCTGGCCTGGAACTCACTATGTAGACCAGGCTGGCCTTGAATGCTGCATGCCTCTGCTTCCTGAGTGCTGGGACTAAAGGTGTATGTCAGCGTACTCAGCTATGAGGGGAATATTTTAATGAAGCTCAACATACACTATTTTCTAAGAAGTAGACAACACATAATATGCTTTATAACATAAATGTGTTTAATTCTCAGGACAACTATGTTTAATATCGTTGTGATTTGACCCTATTTTATAGTGATGGGAACTGACATACAGAGTCTGAACCTTCCTGATGAAAGCTGTAAGGAGACACTTCTCACTTTGTGTTGTCCTATGTTTAGTTCTGAAGGAGAATCACATCCTCATACAAGCTCAAGTGCTAGAGAAACAAGAAAGCAGTGCAGAGCAGAGAGAGGGTGATGCTGGTGTTGGGCTGTTCACACTGTCGTGAACAGGGAATGCAGAAAGACCACTGGGAGGCTCAGGATATCCCGGGTTAGGAGCTCATTTCTAGCCACCACTTGAGCATTTGGAACTTCAGTTTACTCTAAGATGATTTTTGAGGAGGTAAGCATTTAATAACCTTGTAGAAAGATATGTGATCTGTTCTGTATGTGCAGTGAACTTTCTGATGGGGAAAGAAGAGATTTCAGGAAAAGAAAGAGAGGCAAAGCACTATATTAGAGAGTCCCCAGTGGAAGCCTTTTGGTAAGAAATGGAAGATGAGTCATACAATGTAGTTTGAAATCGCTATTTAGAAAGGAATGCCTCGGGGGCTCATCTTAAGAAAAGGAAAAGAGAGTGTCTAGAATGCAAGGGCAGAGTAGAGCAAGGCTGCAACCATCAGCAGGGCCAAGACGCTGTGCAATATTATCTCCTGAAGACACCAGAAATGAAGCTGTCTCTATTCTGCGATGTTCAATGTGTGCATCCCCTGGAAAGATGGAGTATCATCTGGAGCTTGAATAAGGCCTGTGTGAAGACAGTGAGGGGTAGAGAGACTCCCAGGCTGCGAGCCTGCAAAGTGAAATGTCTCTTGTCTTAATAAAGTAGGAGCTTAACTGAGAGTTCTATGTAACATATGCTAATATAGACTTGGCTCATTTGGGAAGAATACAGGAGTCCTGAATGGAAAGTGTGCAATAATTCTGAATATTGATAAAGCTATCCAGAACATTGCTACAAATCTCATTAACTCCTGATAGTGAATGAACTAGAGAGCAGCTCCTTGCCTGAAGGCATCGTCAGATAAATTTTTAAGAGGACTTAGCTTGTCTAGACATGGGTAATCTGAGCTTCATGGGTAATCAGTCCTACTTAGGAAGGCTGGGAAAGGCACTGTGGGATATTGATGGTAATTTTTAATTTAAGCTTTGCTGTCTTTTTTTAGTCAAGATTGCCTGTCTCCTTTCACACTGAAGAACAGTTAGTTCTTGCATTTTTTCACTCTAGTACCTACTGCACCATCTCTACCTCAGACAACAGAACCTTAGTCACTAGCAGACTGCATAGGAACAGCATCCTATACTCCAATAGTTAACTATGCTCTTTTCCTGAACCACTGGATAGATACAGATCTTGATAAAATTGGCATTATTGAGGACACACATTCTGCAATAAGACAGATCTGACATTGTCAGATGACAGGGACAGAGGCACAGCTCTATCCTGGTGACAGGGATGGAGGCACCACTCCATTTGATCCCGGAGACAGCTGGGAAAGATCTTTTTCCTCTTAGGGACCTCCATTTGGGCCAAACGTGGATTTGTTCTTCTTTGAAGAAAATAATTTCAGGGAGAGCCTATATGAAGCAGAGTTGGACATTTATTAAAACATACTTTTAACATAGATCTTTAAGCATGGGGGTTCTTAGAAAGAGAGACTCTCAGGGAAAGAATGAGTCATATGTCAGCCTGAGCATGGACTTGTCCAGGAAGGTTTGCAATTAGGTTTCTTTACAGTGGGTGTATATGTGATTTTGGTGACTCTTAGGTTGCATTTCCAAAGGTTACTAAGCAATACCTCCACTTTCATTAACGTTGTTCTGAGGCATAGTTTACAGTAGGTTAAAAGTTAAACAGTTTTCTTCTGTAACCATAGTTGTAGGTCGATGCATGAGGGGTATTTTTAAGATTCTGAAATGGAAGAAGCATGCTAAAAACTCAAAGATAGGCACCGTTTTATCCCTCAGTAAGCACAGTATTTTTATTGCCTTCGGAATCTTTGTCTACGATATCTGTAGAAGAACACGGATTGCCTAGGTAGGGAATAGTCTTGATCTGTGGTGCCTGAAGCTTCCTCATCTGTCAGGACAGGCAAGGCATCTCCTCAGGACCATAGGCTATCCTCCTTTCCCACACTGCATGCTTCTGTTCTAGTACTGCTCCTGTTTTTCTATCCTGCCTCTGACACTGGATAGCTGGTTGGCTTGTGTAAACACCCGCTTTCTCTGAATTAGTTTCATTATCTGTAAAAAGGATGTAATACCTCTGATTCTGATGTAATACAGAAGTATTCTGTTTGCTAAAGAACTGCTGGCTCAAAGTCAAGGAAACATTGTGGGGGGTCCTTCCCGGCACCCAGCACGATGGGGGCCGAGGAGGGGGAGTGCACTGCCGTCCTAACCCTCTGTTCCCGAGGCACCACCAAGGAGGCAGGGAGTCTTGTCTAGCAGGAGCTCATTTATTATTAAGGCTGAACAATATTTAAAGGCAAAAACCATAAGCATAGCATAGGCGGGGAGGCCGGCATCCAGTCAGCTCAGAGGTCACGTATTAGCATGCAGGCCCTTCTCATAGCATAACTCGGTGTTCACGAGGTGGTCATGCGTCCTTCACTGGCTGAGCTACAAGCAATATTACTTTTTCTTATTGTTGTGTGCCAAGCTGGCTGGCTGGCTCCGCCTTCACCTAAGCTGCTCAGCGCCATCTTATTACTGTACCTCCACAGTACATATAAGTTGAGACACATAAGGTGAGAAGGAGATACCACCTACTTGGATGTCATGATAGATTTCACTCATATTCTGAGGGTAAAATCAATGTAAAGTCCAGTATGTGTAGAGTGGCACTGATCTTTGGATGTGCATGTCATGTGGCCTTTGGGTATTCATCATCCTCAGCTAGCATGAAAATATAGACTAGGCAGGTTCTTAACCTGTTCCACAAATGAACTTCTTTGGTTCCCCTAAATTTATAGAAAAAACCTGATATGTACATGGGTCTTTCCTCAGAAAGAGAAACAAAAAGTCCATTTTCAACCAGGACAAAACTTTAAGATTCACAACTTAGCTGGGTTTGGTAGCCCACGTTTTTATTCCCAGCACTCAGGTGGCAGAGGCCAGTAGATCTCTGTGATTTTTGAGGCCAGCCTAGGCTACATAGCTAGTTCCAGGCAAGTTAGGGCTACATAGTGAGACCCCTGTATCAAAAATAAACTTCTTAGGGTTATTTAGTAAAACGCTTATTACTTAGGCAACCCTGAAAGTGCCTGTAGCATTTGATCCTGTTATTTGACTTTCCATTCATCACCAGAAGACAGTGTAAATATTTTCAGTGTCTTCAGTGAAAAAAATCTAACATAATTATAATTTTTGTAATTATGATGAATTTTCCTTCTTTTTGAGTGGCTTGGAATGGGACTGTGACACGATCTTCAGATGAACCTTGGAACCATCACACTGTAAGCATGTTCTTACTTATTTTATAGGTAGATTCACTTGTGCATCTTCCTGGAAGCAAGCTGCATTTAAAGACTATGATATTAATTTTGTCAGGCGTGGTGGCATACGCCTTTAATCCCAGCACTCAGGAGGCAGAGGCAGGTGGATCTCTGTGAGTTCAAGGCCAGCCTGGTCTACATAGTGAGTTCCAGGACAGCTGGGGCTA